GCTGCATGGCCCAGCGTTACTACAATCCTTTCTCACTGCATTCACTCCTAAGGTCACCCAGTTCCTGCTGTATGATTTGAAATAACATCCGTTTTTATGCCATCAGTACATCATTAACATCCCTCTACTTCAGTCACTGTCAATAAGAAATCTAAAATCGGGACCCCTGAAGAAGAGCTTTAGTGGTCTTCCTCCATCCCAATACTTCTCCTATTCAGGCCAATACTTCTAGTTTCACCATGAGCCATCATCACATCCCCTCAGGCTCCTGGATCTCCTCAAAACCCTTGTCCTTACCTCCATGCTCTCTCTTTTTCCAAGTGCAAAGGCAGAGCAGAAACTTAGGAAACAGCAGGTGAGTGAAAAGATAACATGCAGCTGAAATATCTTTGCTTTTACCTGCCTTTACTGGACAAAGAAAAGGGATGATCCACAGGTGGCCCCTCTGGGAATTTTCCAGTTTATTTTCTTATTCACTAGGCTCTGCAAGGAGTCACAGGATTGTGAACCAAATGGGGAGAAATAGTTGAAATTTTCCACAAAATAATGTCTTTGTTTTTCATCTCTTCTCCTCTCCAGGACAAACAAGCAAAACCTCTAGGGAATTTCTAAAGAAAATCTTTTGACCATTGTTAAGAAGCCTTGTATTTTAAGTAAAAATCTGAAAATTGGTTTTTGTTTTTTTTTTTTTTTTTAATTTAGTTAATGGAGATTGCGTAGTTTTAACATCCATGGGAAAGAGGTGAGGATAACAGCGCTTACCATACAGATATATACCTCAGACAAACAGGTATTTACCCCAAATCAGGGAGGACAAGAAACTACTGCACTGATTTCAGTCCAGGCCTGCCCAGAAAGCATACTGCCTGATACACAGAGTTATTATCCTGACAATCAGGTGAACCCTGTGCCAACACCTGTTTCGCAGGCTAGGGTGGAGAGGAAGCTCTGTTTTAGGGGAGGAAAAATAATTTTGAGTAAACTGGTGTCAAAGCAGTGAATTTTGTGTCATCTTTGTACCACTCAGCTGTTCACTGAGCTGCTCTTTGCTTTATAATCCATTAAAATAACAGCAGTGACTTGGATGTTCATGCTATTTGACCTGCTCAGGGCACTAACGGCAGAGTGACACCCAACAGAGTTAAAGGTGTGCATTGCGGTTAGTGGGTCTGCTTGCATGGTCCGGGCCAGCCTGATGCTAGAATACCTTTGCTGAATGGGCCCCTCAGCCTGGAAGTAAACTGTGGGAGGTTTTGGTGTAGAAGTGGCTAAAGGTTGACATAACTTACTGCAAGTGACACTTTAAAAACACTTCACAGGTATTTTTGTGTAAGAAAATCTTCTTTTCTCTCTCCTTTATTCAGTCTTGAAGGAAATGCTACGTGTTAGGAGGGACCTGGCTGCAGCTTTGAAGTGAATGGATTTATTCTTGTGCTTTACTTAAAAAAAAGTTAGAAAATTTCACATACCAAAAATTCTCAAGAAGACAGCTGTCAGGGGTGACATGTCGGATATGAAGTGGCTCTCCAGCTGGTCCCTGTCTGCATGCTGGGAAGGCATGTGGAGACATTTTTTTCAATTGCTGTACTAGTTTGACATGTTCACAGTGGAAAATGATGTATCATTCTTGAGCCTTTGGTTGGTGGACACTTCAAAGTGCATTGGATCCTCTGAGAGGAGTGCCCTATTGTTAATTGTTCCTTTCACATGTACATTGGGATGAACATGGAGGGAGCAGCGAGGAACAAAAGGGCTCCGGTGGCCTTTTAGAGAAAACCCTGTGCAGCTCAACCTGAGTCTGACCTTGAGAGGGTGGGTTGCTCTGGTTTTTAAATCCTGCTCTCTGGTTCATTCCCCTCTAGCTCCCCACCGTTACCCAGCTGCAGGGGAACAGGATGCTGGAGCAGTGAGCACAGTGGGGCATGGGGAGTCCCTCCACTGCTGCCAAGTGGTGCCCAAGGAGCTGCATCCTGGGCTAGTATCCTTCCAGGAGGGGATGGGCACAGCTGGAGTCTGGGGGCTTGGAGGGGGCTTCTGCAATGGGACTGTTGGGGGGGCGTGCTGGCTTTCCCTTATCCTCCAGGAAGCAGGTGGGCCGTATTGACCCTCCTCAATCTAGCTGCCCCACTAGCACTCAGTCTCAGAGCACAGCCCAGGGGTCTTGAGCCCCTGTGATTGGAAATAGGGTCTCATAATACGTGTCATGAGTTTCCCAGGCCTTTGAGGACACCGTTCTTTAACATCTTGAGACAATCCTTTGCTTCCAGGCACCTGTCCCATGTTTCTCTCCCTCTCACCCCCTTGTGCGACCAACTAGATTGATTAAGAGATTGCACTGTGCAACGTGGTGTCCAGGCTGGGTTCAAACTTCAAACTCTCAAGCACAGGAGGCAGTTGTTTCCTACAAACAGAGATGTGATCCCTTGGTGTGCACTTCATTCAGTGAGTTAGACTAAACCTCTCCCTGTAGCCTCAGCTGCACAGAAGGATCTGTGCTGGGTCACAGAGAGGCCAAGCCCTGGCTAGCACATCCCAAAATAGATGCTCAGGCAGGTGACTGGAAATAGCCTTCCCCAGATGAGCTGAACAGAGAAGATTGCCCAGAGATTTGCATGCTGGGGTGAGGCAGATGATAGAGGGTGCAGGCAGGGCCAGTTGCCCCAGGTCTCCCAGGAAATGGTCTGCTTCTGAAATAGAAACTGGGAGGAGAGAGACACATCTGCAGTGGCAGATCAGCCAGTGTGTTACAGCTCGCTTTGGTGCCAAAGGCTCTGTAGCAGCCTCTGCTGCAGAATGTCCTGGCCCTGGGGTCTCCCTAGACCTGAAACACCTGAGCTGGCGTGCTGGCACATGTGGCTCAGGCCAGACTGGGGGAAAAGATGTGAAAAGCAATGTCAGCACTGGGCACACCAGTACAGGGACACGGAAGAGTCACCCCTGAGGCCTCTGCCCAGAGTTTGGTATAATGGCACAGTCTGGACCTTGTCCTTCTCTGAGGAAAATGAGAGTAATAGAAACACAACAAAATAACCATAAAATTTAGTTGTTTTCAACCCTCAGTGCTCAGGTCTTTGATGTCTCACATCAGTAAGGTAGATTTTACTTGCAAAACAGCTTGGACTTCAGTCCCTGCTTTCCCAAGGCATGTGTGTGCTTGGTCCAGAGTTGGCAGTATTTTCCTGATGGTGGGTGTGCACACCCTGTGCCCCTTGCCACTCTTCTGATGTGTTGCGGGCTGGAGAGCAGGAGCAGTGCTGCTCTGGCCATGAGAGGCAGTGGGTCCCGGGCTGGCACACTGGCTGCTGCCAGCTCTGTGTTGTTGGTGTGCCCAGTGCACACCAAGGGCAGCTCTTCTGCTCTCATCTTCCTCCAGCTCTCCGTTTTACCATGCTATTAAGTTATTGCCACCCCTTAGGGACAAGCCTGCGAGAAGGCAGAGGGCTCACATGACTCTGGATCAGTAAAGGAAGCAGCTCAATTAGCATTTCACACGCCTTTTCTTCCCTCTCTTCTTACCTTCCCTGCAGCGGGCATGCTTTCCCCTTAAAGGATTGTCCTGTTTCTGCTCCTTGCCAGCGTTGGCAGGGTGACAGTAGTCGAGTGTGCAAACTTGTGCTATTGTCCCCAGGCCAGGGGGAGTCATGGAGACCCACTAATATGACACAGGAAAATGTTTGCTGATGGCAATTCTATGGGCTTTGTCTAACTCTTTCTCCATCATGACGACTCGATTTAAGTCTCTAACTGTTTGACTACAGATGCAAGAGTACTATCCAACTCCATCCTTTTGTCCGGTAGTTTGAATGGGTAATTCAGCTTTTGTGTAACTCAATTGAGGGGGCAAACATAAAGACAAGATTCTTGAGCGCTCAAGCTCCCTTTCCATGGATATCTGCACATCTCTTTAGAGATTTGTTCCTTTCCTACCTTTTTCTGACATCATTCTCCCCTTAAAAAAAAAAAAAAAGGCTCTGATGGGGAACGGTTAAAAGTAGGCTAGCTCGGTCCCCCTTATTACATTGTCCTGTGCCAATGAAGCATGGTTAGTATCAGCCTCTAGACAGATTTGGGGAGTGAGGAGAAAAGGGTGCCTAAAGTTTCCTAACTCATCCTCAGCATTTTTGCTTCAGATTGTGTCATTTTTAAAAAGAAAGGCCTCAGTAAGGGTGAAGAGGATAGGGGAGAATGGTAGAAATCACAGGGAAATGATTGTATTTATTAGCTGTCTTTCTGTGGCTGTCCCCATGGTAACAATTTGTGATGGCAAAGAATGCGAGGAGGGGAGGCTGATGCCTGATTGGGATGCTTTGTATTTGGCAAAGTGGCTTCTGATTGGCCTGGGAGAGCCCCGAACTCGCCGGAGTCGATATTCATTCAGCTTGCTCAAGTGCTTGCTAAACTGCGTCCAAACACTGGCGGCAGTGTGTAACCTGCCTAACGAGATTAGCAGGGAAGGGGCTCTCCTCTGCAGCTACGCCGCAGCCACCAGCACCAGCAAGAAAAGCCGCCGCGCGCCGGGTGAGTGTCCGCGCTTGCTTACAGGGAGGCAGGAGCAGCCACCCCAGCCTCTTCTTTCCACCTAAGTGCTATCTAACAAGATTAAGCACCAGGCTGGCTGGCTTTCATGAGACAGCTGCCGTGCTGGTGTGTGCCGGGGCAGCGGTGCGGGGCAGTGGGCTACGGGCATGTGGCAGCTCTGCTGGGAGTTTGCCGGTGTGGAGGTGAGCTGATGGATAACTTGTTTGTGTGTCTGGGAAGTTTGACATGTACCCCTCACCCTCCCTCCATTTGCTTGGTGCTATTTGAACTGAGGTTTCCCGCTCTGGAGTCTGTCTGTTGTGTTTCGCAGGTTTGCCAAAGTTTGTCTAAAGGCGGATTATAAACTTTTCATGGGAAACGCCACACGGCACATGCAGTGAGATGGCATCGGACAGTGAGGTAAAAACCCTCCTGAATTTCGTCAACCTGGCCTCCAGCGACATCAAAGCGGCTCTGGATAAATCAGCTCCTTGTCGCCGGTCTGTTGACCACAGAAAATACTTGCAGAAGCAGCTCAAGCGGTTTTCTCAGAAATACTCTCGGATCCCACGGTGCCACCCCAGCAAACCCCCTGAGTGCGGCTGGCGCAGGGGGGCAGAGGACCGAGGCCACGGCCCCCAGCCCG